GTGGGGAGGGAAATGCACAGGATTATGGTGATGGCACATGGGTGACTTGTTGATGGGAAACCCATGGGGATTACAATTGAGATGGGAAAAAAATGTACAAAATGATGTAAAAATAAACTTTTGTAAAAAAAAAAAAAAAGATCTGTGCCCCAATCGAATTTTATCCAGTTATCAGATGGAGAGAAGTACTTTTACTTTTATAGGAATAAACCTTGAAAACATTAGGCCAAGCCAAAGAAGCCAGCTACAAACAGACCATGTAGTGTATAGTTCCATTTACCTAAAATGCCCAGACTAGCTAAATCTACAGGAAGAGAAAGTCGATTTATAATTGCCAGGGACTGGAAGGAACAATGAATAGCGAGTGACTGCTAATGGGGATGCATTTTCTGTTGGGGGTGATACAATTTTCTGGAATTAAATTTTGGTAGCAATTGCCCAAATTTGTAAATATAATAAAAAACATTAAGTTGTATACCTAAAATTTTTTAATTTTATGGTGAATTGTAGTCCAATAAAAAACTCACTTGCAACAAAAGCTAGTGTGTGTGTGTATGTGTGTGTGTGTGTGTGTGTGTGTATTAGGATGCAAAGCAAGAGGTTTATTGATAGATAAGAAGAAAGACAGGAAAGCTCTCTGAGCAGAGAGGGGCTGGTAGCCATATATATATATTATATATATATGTATATTTTATATATATATATGTGTATATATATAAAAATACATATATATAATATATATATATATTTAAAGATTGATTTAGAAATGGGGTACAGGCCAGAGGTGCAGGGTGGGAGGGGTGGTTAGAGGATTCACCAAAATGGAAAGCAGTACAGGCAGATGGTCTGAGGTACACTGCTGAGGGGAGTAGTAGGTGGGTCAGGAGATATCTGGCATGCCATGTGGGTCACCCCCCTGGCTGGGCACTCCAACTCGTGTTGCAGTGGCTGAAAATAGCTTCATAGCGCTGTACTTGAACCCATTGTGCCACCATGGAAGGCCCTAGATAATGTATGTAATAACAGGTGATGTGTTGACACCCTGAAGTAGTACTAAGTTAGATTTGTGGGGTGTGAAGAACATCCCCTTAAGGCACTACTGCTAAATTAACTCTTAAAACTTAACTAGAAGTTAACCAAACAAAGAGAGTATGAAAATGGAAACGTCTTCATTATCTCCACTGTATGGTAGATTCCCTTCTTCACAAATCTTTTATTTATCTCTTTGTTAATTTGTTCCTTTTCCATTCCCTAGGCTGTTTGTTTCCACATATATTGGGTTGGTGGAGGTGGTGGGTAAGATCTATATTCTCCTAGTCCCTCAGTCTCTCCTTTGAA